GGGTAAAAAACAAAACAAAACAAAACAAAACAAAAAAACAACTTTATTTTATTTAATATGGTTGTCTTACATTTTAGAAGTATGTCAACATCTGTTCAAGCAATAGGGCAGATTAGATAATATGATACTCCTGGAGAAAACAATTTTAAAATTATTTAAAGGCTGGATAAAGTACATTTTACAATCCTTTCTAATGCATTGCTGGGCTGAGAAGAATGGACGGAATCCACAGAAATCTAAAAACAAGTCAATAAAGAAATCTGTGAGGCAAGTGAAACCCAAGCTGGATTGTTCTTGAGAGCAACAAAGCTTGGACGTGCTGACCTCCCCTCAGGAAAGCATGGCAGCGAACAGAACCCCCACATGGGGCGGAGACCTGCAAAGGGCTAATGCCTCATTGTAGCTGCAAGGGTAAATATACTTAATGTTGCAAAGAGATTACTAGGGTCCCAGAGTATCTTGCATTTGTTGCTAGAGGGACAATAAAAATCTCCTCTGAGAAATCATAACTGTGTGTCACATGGGTGTGATGCTTAAACCCATACTACTTTGTAGTCTGAAAAAAAATCTCATGAGATAATTTAAAATAGTCCTGGATTAGAAGTGTCTTAGATGACTGGCAAAAAAACAATTTATATCCTGTCTCCAGGAGAAGGACTTAAACACAGTTCTTAAGAACAGCCATTTAAAAAGGTCCAAGGAAGAAAATGATTCACAGTTAAAACACAAAATAAATTAAAACACATGAGCAAATAAGCCACCCTCTTTGAGACATGTATGAAACAAAACCAAGATATGTAAATTCAGAAAGAATATAAAACAATGTTAAAGGGGTATAGTTAATATGTCCCAAGAAATAAAAGATCAACTTAAAAAATATCCAGGAAAGGGCAGCCCTGGTGGCGCAGCGGGTTACTGCTGCCTGCAGCCTGGGGTGTGATCCTGGAGACCTGGGATCGAGTCCCATGTCAGGCTTCTTGCACGGAGCCTGCTTCTCCCTCTGTCTGCGTCTCTGCCTCTCTCTCTCTCTCTCTCTCTCTCTCTCTCTCTCTCTGTGTGTGTGTGTGTCTCTCATGAATAAATAAATAAAATCTTTAAAAAAATATCCAGGAAATAAAAAAAAAAACTATACTGAAGAACTGAGAAAAATAACAAAAAAGAACCCAAAAGTAACTATGCTCAAGTCAATACACAGAGAATTTTATCAATCTGATTTCTGTATCCAGCAAAGATCTATTCTAAGAAAGTGATGACATAAAGACACACTCAGACAAAAAGTGAAAGTTTCCCATCAGTACACTCTCACTAAGGAAAATTCTACAGGAGAGAAGAAAAGTGATTCCAAACGGAAGAGCTGAGATGCATGAGGAAATGAAGAGCAAAAAAAGTGGTAATCTTGTAGATACAACTAAAGAAACACTTCAGGGGCGTCTGGGAGGCTTGTCAGTGAAGCGTCCGTCTCTTGACCAGTGCAGGTCTTGAACTCAAGGTAGTGAGCTTAAGGGCCGCATTGTGCTCCACACAGAGTGTGGAGCCTGCTGAAACAAGAAAGAAAAGAAAGAAAGGAAAGAATGAGAGAAAGAAAGAAAGAAAGAAAGAAAGAAAGAAAGAAGAAAAGGAAAAGGAAAGGAAGGAAGAAAGAAAGAGAGGGAAAGAGGGAGAGAAAGAGAGAAGAAAAAGAAAGAAGAAAGAAAGAAAGAAAGAAAGAGGGAGAGAGAGAAAGAAAAAAGAAAGAAAGAAAAGAAAGAAAGAAAGAAAGAAAGAAAGAAAGAAAGAAAGAAAAAGGGAGGGAGGAAGGAAGGAAGGAAGGAAGGAAGGAAGGAAGGAAGGAGTAAGGGAGAGAGAGGGAGGGAGGGAGGGAGGGAAGAAGGGAGAGAGGAAGGAAGAGAAAGAGAAAGAAAGAAAGAAAGAAAGAAAGAAAGAAAGAAAGAAAGAAAGAAAAGAAGGGACAAAGGAAGGAAGGAAGGAAGGAAGGAAGGAAGGAAGGAAGGAAGGGAGGAAGGGAGGGAGAGAGAGAGGGAGGGAGGAAAGAAGGAAGAGAGGGAGGAAAGAAGAGAGAGAAAGAGAGAGGGAAAGGAAGAAGAAAGAAAGAAAGAAAGAAAGGAAGGAAGGAAGGAAGGAAGGAAGGAAGGAAGGAAGGAAGGAAGGAAGGAAGGGGTCCCTGGGTGGCTCAGTGGCTTAGTGCCTGCCTTCAGCACAGGGCGTGATCCTGGGGTCCCGGGATCGAGTCCCACATCAGGCTAACCGCATGGAGCTGCTTCTCTCTCTGCCTGTGTCTCTGCCTCTCTCTGTGTCTCTCATGAATAAATAAATAAAATCTTAAAAAAAAAAAGAAGAAGAAAGAAAAAGGAAGAAAAAGAAGAAAGAAAGAAAGAAAGAAAGAAAGAAAGAAAGAAAGAAAGAAAGAAAGAAAGAAAAGAAAAGAAAAGAAAAAAGAAAGAAAGAAGAGAAAAACAGAGGGAGGAAGGCAGGAGAAAAAGAAAGAAAGAGAAAAAGAAGAAAGAAAGAAAGAAAGAAAGAAAGAAAGAAAGAAAGAAAGAAAGAAAGAAAGAAAGAAAGAAAGAAAGACTAAAAAAGAAACACTTCAGTGAATCTAGACTTTAGGCGATGTCTTCTTCCTACCCACGGAAGTCCCCAGGGCAGGGAAATATTAAAGGCACAGACACCTGTGTGGAATACATACAAGGAGAAACGTGGTGAACAAAATGCAGTAATCACCCCTGAAAGTATCCTCCCAGGAGGACAAGGTCTCTGCCTTCACGGAGATCCCATTCTCATCAGAAAGCCAGATAAACAATCACACACATCATAAATAAATACATAATTACAGACTCAGTTAAATTCTCTGAAGGAGAAGTATATGATAATAATGCACAACAGAGACAGGACTTAGGAAGGTCAGAAGAAGCTACAATTTTTGCTAGGCCGTCTGCTGTGTGTTCCTAGGGATATGCTGTTGAGCAGGACAGGACCATGGACACAATGACCTCAGAGATAGTCATGTACAGTGAAATCAATAGACTTTGGAGGCATATAGTGTCATCCCCTCAATTAAGTAAAAAAAAAAAAAAAGTCAAAGAATTAGAATTGGTATACATAGAATACAGTTTAGAGACTGTAGACACAAAGAGCTTTCTCTAAATCATATATTCTAGGAACCTACTTCACAAAGGTCAATGTATAAACAAAGCTTGCAAAAAAAAAAAAAAAAAACCCACGAAAACCCAACAAACCAGCCAAGTGCCTAAGAATATGGGATTTGTGAATCTCAACCCAGGCTCTAAAAGTCAAGCGCTTCCTGAGGCTGTCACACCCTGCAGACCCCTGGCCTCCTGTTGCCTGCCCTTCCTGACCTCTGCAAACCACTTTCCCCCATTCTCTGTCACACAGAGCAGAAGAGGGTCATCCCATGGGGCCGTCTCAGTTCCAGGGTTCACTCACTTCTTTTCATGTAAACAGCTAGAAATGCTGAGTCCGGGATCCAGGTTTCAGCAGAGAATTGGATGGGTCCGAGTTTGGGTCACAAATAGCTGTGATTGAAGGGAAAGGGTCACGTGGTACATACTCAGCTGCCAAGGTTAAGCCCTGAGAGTTGTCTGCAGATCCCAGGGGCGTCATAAGGAGACATGCACTCTCATGATCACCCTGAGCTAACATACACACCAGTACATTTTCAATAGAATTACAAATTATATAACAGTTTTCTAAAAGGCAAAATTTTAAAAATAAATTTTTGGAATGAATAGGAAAGAATGAGATCTACTTGTTATTTCAGTAGCTTACCCATTAGCTGGAATATCATTTAATGTTTTTAGAAGTAGTAGTGATATTTGAATAATTTAATTTAATTAACACTCTTATTCTCTACATGGAAGGCACTAGGAGAGATTCTGGGTGAATGTGAAGATTTGTAAGAAAAGGTTTTTACCCTAAAGAGCTTTTAATCCTGTAACATAAATTTTTACTATGCAAGGGGGAAAGAAGGGCTGCAAAAAAGAAGAGGATCAATTATGGGTTTGGTAAATCAGCCAAGAAATATTTTTGTGCAACTACTGTTTATCCTTTGGACTACTGTATTATTCAAGAGTACTATCAAACATCTCAGAACACTTGCATCTCTATTCCTATTAACATTTTATATATTATAAATAGCACACATTTTGATTACTCATACATACAAGTATTGCATTGCAAAAATACATTCCAAATCTCAAATAACAATGCCTAACTACAAGAAATACATAGTAAGAATTTTACAAATATATTTATAAATAATTTCTATATATTTAAATTACAAATATAATTGTTATTGGCTTGGAATATTGGTCTAAAATGTCACGTATGTGGTTTTAATTTCATAACAAAAATCAGATGCCAGTAGCCAAACATCTTAAAGTACTTTTTAAAGTGCCTTATACGCAACTGGATTTGATAGTGGGCCATGCTTTGAGTAAGTTAACCCAGAGACACAAGGTCCAGCCTGTCGCACAGAAGACTAGAAAAGCCCCATGCCATGGAACAGTCTGAGCTATGGCCACCACAGCTCTGGGAGCTACACTTAGTAACTCTGTCCCAGCACTGTGAGAGTTGCCTTAAAGAAATCTTAAAAAAAAAAAAAAAAATCACACACACATAAAAATGCTAGACTTTTGTTCTCATTTTACTGTTACAGACTGTTTTGCAAGGGCATAAATCATCCATGGTGCCCCAGCTCCCAGTGCTGAAATGTCTTCTGTACAAAACAGTCTAGAAATGCCATCCCTAGGATAGGATACCATAAACCAAAACTAAAACAAAATAAGTTATAAGACTTTATGCTCCAATGTTGCCACGCTGCTAAACTTTTCAGCTGGCAATAACTGTGTATAGAAACGGAACACAACATGAGTTTAAAGTACCTAATTCCCATGCATCTGTTGTTTGTAACACAGTGTATCTTTTTTAAAAAGCTTATGACATTTTCTTATCTAGAGCACCAAAATCTAAATTTAGATACTTACATTATTGCACTCTCCAAGGAAATACAGTGCAAATCCATCAGCTTTTGTGGCTGCCAAAGTAATAAAAAGGGAAGAAACTAATCTCAATGGAAGAACAGACCACATATAAACTCTTTAAGGTGAGACCTCAGGCAGGAGTCTTTGTGAAAGGACCACTATGCTTTACCATAACTAATTGTCATGCAGTCAACTGAGCAGATTAAGTTACCACTTTACTCAATCACACAAGTAGAGCATCTGCATTCATTATGCATCAGCTACAGCAAATTTAAAGATGTGACATCCTCAAATGCATACAGCAGCTCATGTGCTATGTAATAATATCTTTGGGAAACTTTAAGTATCACAATTATTGGAAATATTTTTTAAGAATTATATTTAATTTTTAAAAAATGAAAAATATCAGACATGAGATTTATAATAATGAGTAATCAATGTTAGCATCAACCAAAAAGGATGATGTATATCTCCACATGTCATCATTGAAGAAAACACAATTTAACTTTCCTAAAACTGCTTCCGGTTCATCTGAAGGCAATTATCAGAGCAGATAACAGATATCACTAGGGGAGGACTGCCGGAATGTAGACTCCTGTTTCACTCCTTTTTACTTGTGTGGCCTTGGATAAAATATTTGACCTGTCTTTGCCACAGCTTCCTCATCAGTAAAATGGTGATAACAGTATATAACTCTGTCACCTCCCCAAATAAATTTAAAATGCTTTTTGTTTCTTAAAAATTAATGATTTACTCCATAACGATGTGATTTAATTCAATAAAACTATACTTTCCAAAGAAAACTAGGTTTTATTTAGGAAGCATAGTACATTCATTCCATTTATATATCTGGCAGATACTTTTTTGGGATTAGACAACTTAGGAATTTTTAGGCTTGACTCATTCTAGTACTTTCATAATAAAATATTTTCATTTCAAATTTAGCCCCAGAATAGAAGTAAATAAATGACTTGCATTCGCCTTATAGTAAGTATATTACTTTTTCCATTTTCTGCAATGGAATAAAAGAATCTTCAGTTCAAATTTTCTACCAGAACGAATACGAAACACTTCTTACCTATTTTAATGATGCTACTCAATTCATAGAGGAGTAGCTGGTTGTCTCCTCCTGTATCCAACCGTTGTTCTATATAGCTGTTTAGTTCATACACAACTCCCTGCATATTCGTATCTTGGTACTTTTAATAAAAAAAAGAAAGAGAAATAAAGGACATAAGTGTAATAAAATTAAAAATTCCTTACTTTATAAAACATACTATTATTAAGGTATATAACTTTACATACTTTGCTTTATGCTTTTATACACTATGATTTTAAAGAGCATTATTTAATTATAATCTACTATAAAATAGATTAAACATTAAAATTGCTGACTTAGAATTATAGACTCCATGTATACTTTATATTAAAACATCAAATGTTACAAATTACCCTTTTATTTCTGAGGTTTTAAATATAATCAGTAAAAGTAGTACAAAAGTTTGCTAACTGAATGAAACATTCTGTTATATGCTAGAAAAGCAAACTGATATGCATTGCATTGGGTGAAGCAGAGTTTGTTCATTAGTCTCCATTCATCTGCACCAATAGGGCTACCACCCTAGTCAGAGCTCAACTATTCCCCTAGGACAGGGGGGAGCAGCTCTTGTGTTTGCTGTCATGGTAGTACCAGCTGCCCCACCGCAAGCCCAAAGCTCTGGGCTTCACTGTGGTAACAGGGACAACAGCAGGTAAATAGGGTTTGGGAAAAAGATGGGAGCTAAGTCATAGCTACTTACAGCACTTGTCTTCTCTAAAAATGCTGAAAAACTGCCTTCCACCAAGCTTCCCTTCCTAAGCCTATTCTCCAAGCAATAGCTATGGTAAAGTTTATAAACAAAATAAAATTCTGTCATTCCCTGGCTTAAAATACTCCTGGGGCTTCCCACCGTACTTCAAATAATAGACTCTTCACAGGGACGGCCTCCCACATTCTACAAAATGCAGTTACGGTCTGTCTACAACACCATCTCAAGCCATCTTTCTCTTTCTTAACCACTCAGGTATCTTTAACTCCTAAAGTTTTATTACTTGCCATTACTCTTTTTTTTAAAAAAAATTCCAGTATAGTGAACATAGAGTGTTATATTAGTGTCAGGTGTACAATATAGTGATTCATCACTTCTGATCATCACCGGTGCTCATTACAAGTACATTCCTTCATCTCCATCCCCTATTTCTCCCATCCTCCACCCACCTCCTCTCTCTAACCATCAGTTTATTCTCTAAAGTTAAGAGTCTGTTTCTTGATTTGTCTCTCTTCTTTCCCCTTGTTTCTCTATTTGTTTTGTTTCTTAAATTCCACATATGAGTGAAATCATATAGTATTTGTCTTTCTCTGACTGACTTATTTAGGCTTAGCATAATACTCTTTAGGTCCATCCATATTGTTGCAAACATTTGCCATTATTCTTGATCACTATTCTCAATGAATGTCTGAGGAATGAATGAATGTGAAAAAATACATGAAAGAATAGATGAATTGATCAATTCACAAATAGGTACTGGCAATCCTGACAATCTACACTACTATACATAAGTATTCTTATAGCTAAAAGAGATGCTAGAGAATTAACAGAATAAAGTTCCAGTCTTCAAGATTCTAGGTGAGGAAAATAAATAACTGAATGTTATAATGTGGCAGGCGGTGATAGGTGGTATGCAGGAAAAAGAGCAGGGAAGGCTGGCAGCCAAGACCTCTGGAGGGAGAGAGTTACCCTTTTTAATAGGATGGACAGGGTGCACACTCTGGTCCAGGCAGACTCCCGAGAAAGAAGTATGAAGGATGACTTGTCTCAAGGTGCAATACATACCAAAAAGAATAAGACACTACTTTTGAGAGATCCAAACACTACTACAGTGTCCCAGCCAGATGGCAGTAGGCATTAGGTGAGCAATGGAGTTGCAGCTCAAGCCTATCTCAACAGTGAGCCCCAGTGAGTTTTCAAACACCTGGGGGTAACTACAGTTTTAGAATGCACTTTAGGAATAGGCATCCTCAGAAACTGACAAAATTCCACCCTGAAGCATCCCCACTGAAAAGGGGTGAAGATGTGAGACCTGCAGAGAGCTGGAGGAAGAGCTTCCTAAGTGGAGAGAACAACAGGAATAAACGAATGAACATGACCCTAAAGCGTCAAAATAGAAACCCACCAAGCATCGTTATGCTTTAGTGCCAACTTCGAGAATGATTGACTTTGTTCTTGGGACTCTTACGACTGGCACTCTTTGTGTCCTCTCTCAGAACAGCTTCTCTAGGTTGTGTGTGCTCTGCTCCTACATCTGCTGAGCCTCATGTACCCAGTGCCGGATTCCCCCGGCCCCTTGAACCTGTGCATCCTGCTCGCTTTGTTGCACACGCAACCATGGTAAATCACCGGCCTCCTGACCAAGTTTTGTGACTCTTTTTTGCTAAAGGTTTAACTGCTTAGCAGTTAGTCGTAACTTCCTGGCAATTCTCTGGCTGCTGATATTCTTCAAGACCTACGCTGGGGCAGATACCATTGTGGTAGCAAAAGTCTGCATAAAAATCACGAATGCTCTGAAACTCTGATGCCTTCCAAGCACGACAGCATTGTATGTGGCCATACACACAAGCTCATGCTGTTCCTTTATCATGTGTAAACAAGATGCTATCTGACGACCGCCAGTTTTGAAGAACTCTGGAGAAACGATTCTACTCTGACATACCCTCTCTCTCTCCCTCACCACTAATTAGAACCATTTGTTTGTATTTTTCCCCAAAGTCCTGAGAAAGAGCTTATCTGAGACTGAAACTAACCTAAAGAAAAGCTAGGCTATGAGGGATGCCTGGGTGGCTCAGTGGTTGAGCATCTACCTTAGGCTCAGGTTGTGATCCTGGGGTCTCGTATCCAGTTCCACATCGGGCTCCTTGTAGGGAGCCTGCTTCTCCCTCTATGTCTCTGTTTGTCTCTCATGAATAAATACATAAAATCTTAAAAAAAAAAAAAAAAGCCAGGCTATGAGAAATAAAGAGACTCAGTCATAATGACAGGGTCTGAATCTCTAGATCCAGACACGCAAAAACCATAATGCTTAAAAAACCTATCCCTAGACACAGACTGTTCATGAACCAATAAATCTCTGAACACTTCCTTTTTCTTCTGGGGAGAGGCACTTCAGTTAGTCTCAGGTGGGCTCTGAAGCACCCCGCAGAGGAGTCCCTATAAAAATGATAACACGGGCTCCTTTCTCTGACAACATGATTCTGAGAGTACATCCATTCACAGGATCTGTGTGCAGTGCTGAGAAGGAAGAACAGCTGTTCACCGTGTCTTCTGGAAGGACTGGGTTGTCACACACAAGTGATAACAAGAAGGCAGTTTATTGTGGGGTGTCCTCTGAGTTTTTCTTTTCTCATCTGTAGAACAAGGAGGCTAAAGTGTGTTACCTTTAAAATACCTTTCAACACTCACTGTCTATGATAATCTATGACCTAGGATTTTAATTTTGTCATTAAGCTTCAAATTCTGACCTTCAACCTAGTGTAGGGGGGTTTAGTACACCCTGTTTCCTTTGATTGTCAATGACAACTGCATCATAAGAGCAAAATGTTTTATTACAGTTACTATTACATATTAATGCACTATTAATTCTCAAAAATTAAAGCCCTATCTACATAGTGAATCATTCAAACCATAATATTCTATAAAACTTAAAATAATATGTAAATGCAAAGTAGTAAGCATAACTATTGTTTGGCTGTTAGCCTGATACGCTTACTACTTTACATTTACATATTATTTTAAGTTTTATAGTCCTGGGGCCAGGACTACCATCACACATAAGGAAAGGCACAGGAAGCATGGGGAGATGAACCAAATCCCACCCTCCCAAGGTGATCTTTAGAAACAATGTGATGGGGCAGCCCGGGTGGCTCAGCGGTTTAGCGCTTCAACCCAGGGCCTGATCCTGGAAACCTGGAATCGAGTCCCACGTCAGGCTCCCTGCATGGAGCCTGCTTCTCCCTCTGCCTGTGTCTCTGCCTCTCTCTCTCTGTGTATGTGTGTGTTTCATGAATAAATAAATAAAATCTTTAAAAAATAATAAGGGATCAATTCAATTCAGTAAAATAAACCTTAAGCCTATAGCTTCACTGAAAGAAAATCCTAAGAGTGTATTTTTTTTTAATTTTTATTTACTTATGATAGTCACACAGAGAGAGAGAGAGAGAGAGAGAGGCAGAGACACAGGCAGAGGGAGAAGCAGGCTCCATGCACCGGGAGCCCGACGTAGGATTCGATCCCGGGTCTCCAGGATCGCGCCCTGGGCCAAAGGTAGGTGCTAAACTGCTACGCCACCCTGGGATCCCCCATAAGAGTGTATTAATGAAGTTGCTCAGAACTGGAATTTACACAGCATTCTAATTTGACAAAGTCCTTTCCCTAACTTTATTCTACATAAGAACCCAACCAAAGTATACACTGAATATCACCGATACTTTCATAACTCAAGAAGTCAGAATTCTCAGGAGAATGAGTTGGGCAATGCACAACTTCTCAAACCTTACAATCCAACTGGATGCTGCCACTCTAATTTTCCACGTTCTACATTGATTTTCATGTAGAGCTTGTTTTCCATTAGAGCAACTTCTGAAAACAGAAGGATTTGCAAAGACCTGACTTCACTGAAAGGATTGCAGTGACCTAATACTGAAACTGTGAATTCTGTTAGGCTCTATCTGATAGACATCATTGTGTGCTCCACAGAACTTTAACAGGTCCTGAACCACTACCGTGAGTTTGCTGTGATGCCTAAGAGCACTGGAACAGTTTGGGAAGCAGGGGAACAGCCACTCCATCCACCTGGAGGGAAACAGTGTTTTATGAGATACGATGGTAATGAACAGAGCAGTGTTAATCCTTGGTGAAGCTGGTTTAGCCAGGAGAACAAATGCTCCCAGACTTGCTAACGTGAAGTAGGTGTTTAAACACAGATCGGCAAACCACTTCCCCAGGAGAGGTTAGAGGCAATTCAAGAACGAAATGGAAGCTTGAACGGTGTGAGGTCTGTGAGCCCATGACTCTATGAGGGATCACTGGCCTGTCCTGAAGGCTGGAGTCAAATCAGTAGAAAACATGATGAGGCAGATGTTAAGTTGGATCAACACTGAAGAGTG